TATATATATATATATATATATATATATATATATATATATTTCACTTGGAAACTTGACCTCATTTAAAAAGAAATAAGTGACAAAGAGGGCTATTTTGAAGACGTCACCTCACCACCAATAACAGTTCTTGTGTAGGGCATTACTCACTCCTGTTGACATAAAACACAATATGTAAATCCAAGCAAAACCAACTTGTAATTGCAAACCGAAGAAGCAGGAGACACCAGACACCTTTGCATGACAGTAGCTTCTGCCCGGTGCTTATCTGAGTTTGTGGATCTGGAGATTTGATTTCATACTAGATCCAATCAGATTTAGGGGCTAACACACACGTTCTCAGAGTTGACAAGCGACTGACAGTGTAATGACCATAGAATAGCCCTCCACCAACCCACAGTTGCATTCTGTTCAGAGACACATGATCACATGTCCTAGCACCTAGTTCATTCTGCCCAGAAGTTACCATCCATCTGCCCAGCTTGTTCACACTCTGCATGCTCCCTGCTTGCTAATCACATGGTGGCTAGCTGTCTTGGTTGACAGGTTAAGATCATTATTTCACTTAGCAGTGGTCTTGGAGTGCCGAAGAAATGAGGCCAGCCATTCAAATAAGTCAAAAGGAAGTCATAAAGTTATTTCTTTTAAGAGAGAAGATAGACTTCTCAAACCCAAAGAACTGAGGATGCACCATACCCTGGCCTCTGCCTCCCAAGCACTAGAGTTGTAGGCATGATTGGTCATGTCCTGCTAAGTTAGATGTTCTTAAGGAATGATTGTCTTGGACTGAAATGGTTGGGTGTGTGGTCTGTTGACACAGTAAAAATGAACACTCTATTCAATTGTGAAGAGAAAAGGAATACATGCTAGTTTTGTCTTGTACCTCAAACTGGAAGGTATGGACCACAGTCTATGATAAGTGCCAGTTCAGATGGGAAAGGCATCAGGTCACAAGGGTGGGCACTCTGTGTGTTTTTAAGCATCTATAGAGAGTCCTGGATTCCATCCTGTGGATGAGAGGGACTAGTGAACATTAAGTCTCTGGGTAGAGAAAATATATACAGTAACCAGCCTTGATTGTTTACTCGAAAACATTGTCTGAGTCTCTGAAGGCAGTATGAACTTACATATCTAGTGGTGCTTGCATTTGTGGGAATTCTGATGTCCAACCTCGTAAGTGGGCTCAAGTCCCAACCACCTGCCTTTGCAATACTGGAGTGGCGGTAGCCTAACTTTTCTGATGATTTTTTTTTTCTCTTCTTCTAAGTGTGTAGTTGGAATGTTAATGTCTTATGGAGGGAGATACTCCATGACCTAAATACCTTAACATAAAACCTGGAAGTTAATAACTGCTATTCGTATGATACTGTCATTTGGTCCATTGTCTGCACTGTAACTGTTCATGTCAACATAGAAGACTGAATAATAGAGCCAAAAATTGCTCATAGAGCACAGAATCATTTGAGAAGATAGATGTTCTTTTTTTTTTTTTTTCCTTTGTCTTCTTATTGAGACAGGGTCTCACCACGTGTCTTAGGCTGTCTTCAAATGGATCCTTCTGCCTGTAGCTGCCTGGTTTGTTATACTAAGTTACATATTCTTTTCAAATAAGTTGTTTTATTTTTAATTCTCTCTCGCTATCTCTCGTGTGTGTGTGTGTGTGTGTGTGTGTGTGTGTGTGTGTGTGTGTTATGTGCACATGGGTGCAGTGCCCTCAAAGGACAGAAGAAAGTGTCAGATCCCCTGGAGCTGGAGTTCAAGGTGGGCTGCCGGATGTGGGTGCTGAAACTCGGGTCCTCTGCGAGAGCAGTCTGAACCGTTTACTGTGAAGCCAGTTCTCCTAGTGAGAAGTCCTTAAACAATGACTCCATTGGACTGCAACAGCTGGCATAAAAGACACTGTTCCTAGAATGTGCAAATTATTTAGCCGAGGCTGTGTAAAGTCCACTAAATCTTCATTTGTGGTTTCTGCTTTTCTGAATTTCATGAAGTCATCACTTTGTGTGTGGGAGGGAGGGTTCTGGTTTATTTTATTGCCGTCATATTTAGTAGTAGCAAATATAATTGTCTTGATTGGTTTGGCTTCCAAAAGCAGCATTTGGGAGATTATTTGTTGTACCACTAAGATCTTTTGGCGTGCATTCAGGAAGCTAACCTATTGTTAAAAGGCTCGTGTCTATCTGTCCTCTATCTAGCTATCATCTAGCTATCCTGTCTCTCGCTCTGTGTGCGTGTGTGTGTGTGTGTGTGTTTTGCTGGGAGTCTAATCCATACCTTCATGCATGCTAGAGAAGTGCTCTGCCACTGATCTGTATCTCTTCTCCACAAAGTAGTTTCTAACAGCGTCCAGCTGTCTCCATGGTGGGCTGCGTATGCCAAGTACGTATGGAATATGACTCATTTATCTAACACAGCAAAATAGAAAAGATTTCTTCTAGAACATGCTTACATTAACTTTTATTTTCTCTCATCCCTGGCACAGGTATCGACATCTTGAAGCTTGTAGCTGCCCAAGTAGGAAGCCAGTGGAAGGACATCTATCAGTTTCTCTGCAACGCCAGTGAGAGGGAGGTGGCTGCCTTCTCCAACGGATACACGGCAGACCACGAACGGGCCTATGCAGCTCTGAAGCACTGGACCATCCGTGGTCCCGAGGCCAGCCTCGCCCAGCTCATCAGCGCCCTGCGCCAGCACCGACGCAATGATGTTGTGGAGAAGATTCGTGGGCTGATGGAAGATACCACGCAGGTAATATGAGCCCTCCCTCGGTGGTTGTGTGCTTTGCCACTAATCTGTCTTTGAACTCCATACTTCATCAGGTATATTTGTGAGGGAAAGCAGCTGACATTAGATGTTTGGTTAAGCGTGGGCGTTAGCTCTCTCCGTGCGCGCACAGGCGCGCCCCTCCCACCTCTATTTTTTTAGGGCAAAATCTCCAGTCATCATGCGACTTGTGACATCGTTTGATGCTTGGAACCCCACTGTGCACCCGTCAAACAGAACCTCTTGGTTATTTGGCCACCTTCATCAGCTGGGAAACTGAGGAAGTTTGAGGGGTGTATGTTATCGGTGTCAGTGATCGCTAGCTCTGGAGCCAAACAACCCTGGATCTGAATCCTAGCTCTGACACTTGTTAGATGATCAGAGATAAGTTACATCCAGGTTTTCTGACAACAGTATGAAATATGGAGGATCAGGTGCCTGAATTATTGCTGTTAGTCTAGCATAATAATTACTATCATCATATAACTAATTTCCCTCAGCTGCTCTTTATCGAATAGTTCCCTGAAAAACATGAATTAAGTAGAGAATTTGGTACTGGATCATGTTACAAATAGACGTTGATGAAGGTTTGACGATATATTCTGCCATTAAGACTTGATAAAACCTACTTGAGGTTAAAAGCCATTTTGCACGTGGTATGTGCTCTGAGGTCCAAATCCACTATTTATGTAAGAGCTGGGTGGAGATTAATTTGCCGCTTCGGCTCAATTAATGACAAATTCTGAACAAGAGAATTATCTCTTATATTTTTGCATGAACAGTGCAATACCTCTAAATTGGTAATATAAACATTGATCAAGAGAGTTTTATTTTTAGTAATGATGTTAGGATAAGAATATGTAGGTGTTGGCTGCCTTTGAAGGTGGCCTTCAAAGTTCTTAGTACATTTTTTTTTGGCCTCTTTGAAATGTGGAATTTCAGAACACAAGTTTACTAATAAGCCAGTTATAAACATTAAAAGGCATGCACTGATATGTTGCCATTTTTTAAAGGAGTTTTCTAATGAGTGTGTATATTTTATCTGCTCGTATATCTGTGCACCATGTATGTGTCTGTTGCCTTCAGTCTCAGATAGTTGTGATGTTCTATGCGGGTGCTAGGAGCCAAACCCAGGTCCTTGGCAAGAGCAGCCAGTGCTCTTAACCATTGAGCCACCTCTCATGCCTTTGTGTTGTGATTTTTTTTTTTTTATTTATTTACTTACATCTTATCTTCATTGGTGTTTTGTCTGCATGTATGTCTGTGTAAGGGTTTTGGATCCCTGAGAACAGGAGTTACAGATATTTGTGAGTTACCATGTGGGTGTCAGGAGTTAAACCCAGGTCCTCTGGAAAAACCAGCCAGTGCTTTTAACTGCTGAACCAACCCTCCAGCTCTATGCTGTGAATTTTTAAGAGACATGTTTAAGGAACATCATATACAACTGGAGCTAGGCTTTTAAATAGTTGGGTTTAGAAAAGCAAAATAAATATTTATCCTCCACTTAAATAAGACCCTTGCATTTAAAATATAGGAAGTCCAGAGAAAGTATATCATGCTTTCATGGATATGTCTTTAAGGGGAAGTACTGGACAGACCATAGCAGATTGAAGATGGGTTCAGATATTTGGGGATAAACTGCTAGATCTCCTTGAAGACACCTAGGAGAAAGATAATGCAAGTTAGGCCATGTTAGAATTTGGTTATCCCAACTCTGTGATGGTCCCGAGAGGATAAGAGATGACTGTGGTTGGACATAGTGGCACATGCCTTTAGTCCATCCCAACACAACGGGAGGCAGAGGCAGGCAGATCTCTGTGAGTTCGAGGCCAGCCTGGTCTATAAAGAGAGTTCCAGGACAGCCAAGGCTACACAGAGAAACCCTGTCTCAGGGTGAAAAACGAAAGAAAAAGTAATGTATAAGAACGAGTTAAAACACAAAGTGCTTCTTCCAGTATGCTAAAACCGTATGTACTCTTCTTTCCTGTCATATCTCCTATGCACTAAAAACAAACAAACAACAACAGCAAAGAAAACCTCTAACCACACCTATTTTTCTTTCTATCTGTACTTTGTACATGGTCTCTTTAAGAGACCATGCTGTGTAAGTATCCTGTAGCTCCCAGCTTGATTTCTCTGTAGCCGGGGTGTCATGGTGCATGCCAAACTTTTTGTTGCATGTTTTAATAGTGTGCATCATTGTATTGCAACATTCTGGGTCCAGTTCCTACTCTTAATTTTAGGAGCCGTAACGGGCCTGAGATTATTAACAACTGCACAGTGTGGAACAGCCTGCCATGCGTAACTACCCTCTGAGATTTGTCGAGTCAAGCTAGAGAGTCAGAAAGCAGGGGCATAATTAAAACTCACTCTTCACATTTTCTGGTGGAATTGCTCTCCCTGTGTTTTGTGGCTGGGGACTTGGGACTTTGCCCCAGGAGTTAATGGACTCTTAATGTGTAAAAACGACTCATTTTTAATGGTTAATGTTTCTTCCTGCTCCTGAGGCTGAGAACACCTATGTTATACTTCTATTAGAAGGCTTAGCATTAGTGTAACTAAAAGCTACACCATTCAGAACAGCTGGTCTGGTATTAACCGTGGTAGCCATTATTAAGTCCATCCTGAGCCTGGCTCATTCTGCATCTCAGATGAGAGTGCATGTTCCTGGCACTCTCTTCTTCTGAGGCCAGTGTCTAAGCTGAAGCCAGGTCCTTCAGAATCGTGTTTTGTTTTATTTTCTTCCCTCCAGGCATGTGCTTCCTACTTCCAGCAGAAGTACCTAAGCTGTGGGATGATAGCTGGAGGTGAATGGGATTTTGACAAATCTATTTAAATGTTTTTTAAAAGTGTATTTGTCTGAGGAACTGAAACTATAGGAAATCACAGTCGTGAACTACCCAGTGTTGGCTCTGGGAACTGAACTAGCAAGTGCTTTAATTTACTGAACCATCCCTTCAGTAAATTTTGTTCACCCACAAACAAAACTCCTTAAAAAAAAAAAAAAAGCTTAATAATACTCTTGTGTTCTAAAGCGTGTTATCTCTCTTTTGCTGCCTTTTACTTCATTTTGAGTGTTTGTTTATTTAAAAATTGTCTTTGACACTGGGAAGATAGCTCAGTCAGTAAAATGCCAGCCACACAAGCAGAATTTAGATCCCAGAACCCACTTAAAAAGTCAGGCTTGGGCTGGTCATAGGCCTGCATGCTTTTAGTCCCAGCACTTAGGAGGCAGAGGCAGGGGGAATCTCTGTAAGTTGGGGCCTGTCTGGTGAACCTATTGAGTTTCAGGCTAGCAAGGGCTACATAGAGAGCCTTATTTCATCTCGCCCCCCCCCAAAGAAAAAACCACCTCCTTTGATTTCCTGAGTCTCCCCCCACTACCACCACCACGGCAGGCACCCAGCTCTCCTGCTTCTCGCAGGGTCTTTCCCTCTGTGTGTTTGTTGTCGGTTTCCTCACCCCTAGTAAAAGCTTTCCTTGACCACATGAAAAAAAAAAAAGAGTGAGGACTGGTCAGGTACATCTTTTCACCCCAAAGCTGGGACAGCGGGCAGAGACAGGAGGATCCCTGAAGCTCATTGGTTAGCTTGGCTAAGCTGAGTCAGTGAAGCGTGGGTTCAGTGAGAGACCCTGTATCAAAAAATAATGGTGGGGAGTGATTAAGATGTCAACGCGTGTGCACACCTGTTCTAAGAAGCACATTCTCCGTACATTGCACGCTCACACACACACATTCACCTTATTTTCAATGAATACCATGAAGACTACAGGATCAGTATCTAAGCTACAAAGCATATCACAAATATGTACTTTTTACCATGTTTCAGACAACCTTAAATTATTCATCTTTCTCCTGCGTTTTGGTTTCATTTTCAAGATTTTCGGGGCTGGGATGTAGCTCAGTGGATGGATAGTGTGATGGCCTAGGATTCAGGAAGCCGTGTGTTCCATCCCAGCTGGGCATAAATGGGCGTGCCTGTGATCACAGAACTCCAGGAATGGAGGCAGGGGGAAATCAGGAGCTCAAAATCACCCTCTGTTACAGAAAGAGGTTTGAGGCCAGCCTAGGATACTCTATCTCAAAAAGAAAAAGTAATAACCATAAGATAAAAAGAATCTTCATGCTATAAACTTACTGCCTGCATGGTGTGTGTGTGTGTGTCCTTCCACAGTCAGAATTTATGCTGATCTCCTTGGCCCTTTGTCTTTTCTGTTGTCTCTCCTGCAGCTACCACAACTACCCAGCCCATTCTTTGTCTAAACAACACTTCTCAATTTGGGGGCACCTGGCACCAAGCAAATAACTAATAGAAGAAGCATTTTATTTCGCCATAGTTTTGAGGAATAGCCAGGAAGGAGAAATTTGGCTTTCTTTTGGTATCTTTAATGCTCGGGTTTGTTTCTTCTCCTGATATAGACTTTATCTCTCAATCTCTGTTATATAAGAATTTATGAGTAGAGTATGATGCCAGGTGCTTTGGGTCATACAGATGAGTAAGACAGAGAGGGAGTACAGTCAAGGGAGCTTACGGCCTGCTGAGGAGTCAGTCACACAGGCCTGTATAATCGAGAGTGAGTCCAAGAGGTTGGAGGACAAATGTACTGGCTGTGCTTGAAAGCAGCCATTAAGTCTCCGGTCAGATAGAAAAGTGGAGATACGTGTCAGGCTGAATTCCTTGGGAGTAGTCATCAGTTTGAGGATCCTGGGCAAACTGCTGTGCTTCTGTGCCTCAGTTTCTTTGGACAAAGTATGGCGCTCATGGGTCGCTCTGGGGAATGACTGCCAGAAAGCAGTCCCTGCAAGTTTATTTCTTTTTAGACGAAATGACTTCCCGGCTTGTTCCTAACCAGCTCCAACTCACACACATAATGGACCTTTTCAATCCTGAAGGCTGGGGTCACACAGTTTTGGGCAAGGAGGCTCACCAGGCTCCAGAGCTGCTGCAAGTGGATAGTCTGTTGAGGCGGCGGGAGAGTCACCC